TGATACCTCTTCATTCACTGCTACGAATTGATGGCGGTCAGATAAGTACGATTTGAACCATGCTAATGCACTTCCATTAATGCCAACAAAGTTTTCTAGTGTATTCAAAAGAATGTTGTGGTCAGTAACATTAAGGGAACTGTTTGTTGCAGTTCCCTTAAACTTTTCCGATGCGGTCTGTGAGTATTTGCAGTGCGTTTCTGTATTTGGTCGTGTTGTGCTGTCAAACTGATGAAGATGTTTTCTTAATTTGGATGGGTTTTATTCTATTTGCATGTTTTTTCATTTGCAGCACGTTGAGCTGTCCACAGTATAAAAAAGTTAAGAAACTAAATCTACATTTATTTATGACATCTACAAGCTTCAGATTTTTTAAAGGGGTGGTTGATTGTGATTTAACTTTAACTGTAGTTAGTGTGTAAAGTTGCTGTTTGAACATAGACAATATCTGCAAAGTTACGCCCCTGAGGGAGGGGCTTCATAATAACAGGAAATCATGAGAGTGTTTATCAGAGAAGGGACAGAGCTGTGTAGAATAAAGGTAAATTATGTGAAAAATAATGCATCAACACATGTTAGACTGCACCCCATAAACACAATCAAGCCTAGAAAAAAAACACTGAACCACCCCTTTAAAAAAAAGCTTATTTTTCAGGCTAGACCAGGCAGTGCACATTCGCAGTCCTAAGCACACGTCTCCGAATGCTGACTGTTTCTATAGAAACCGGGACTTTACCGATTAGCGATTGGCTCTTTTACTCAGAAGGCTTTGTTCAATAGAGCGGCCATATTGAGTGTTGCATTTTTCCCACGTTCAAATCTATTCGAGTGACATGTCTTGGGTATTCTACAGTCTTCGGTTAAGATCTAAGAAGGTAATGTTCTAAATCAGATCCTAAACTGAAATCAGCATGGTTACTAAACAGACATACTAAGTTAGGATATTTCTGTAATATGGCCCCAGGTTTTAAACTTCTGACCTTTTGTACATAGGTTCAAATGGTCTATATCACAAAGTTTCCTTTCCATTTTTTTCAGAATCCTAAATCATCAGGTCTATGTGTTTTCAGACTTTGGACCCCACTGTACCTTATTGTTTATCACATACTTCACAGAACTCTACTGCAAAGTGCACAAGAGTCTCTAGGAATGTCTGACCCTCTAAATACATCAACATGCTGCTCACTGGCTCACATACTCACTCATCTGTCTCAAATGATGTCACCCGCCTCCACAGGACCATGAAAACCTCACAATAGCAAATACAAAACAGCTATTAAGTATTTAGAGTGAACACAAAAATGTAGGCTTGCAAATGTGACCTTCTTTTGTTTGCCATAGATTTTGCAGAATAACTTGGATTGACACAGGTTTAATCATTAGACTCTACAGTAAGTGAATACGTTTGTTTCATGATGGGTCTACAAAACAGTGAGATACAGATGTTGCCAGTCATTCTAAAAAAAAAATTAAGCAGTACAACTCTTCTTAACACTATAATAATAAGAAATGTTTGAATGCTAAATCTGCATAATAGATTGATTTCTGAAAGATCATATGACACTGAAGACTGAAATAATAAATTATGAAAAATTAAGTTTTGCCATCACTTGAATAAATTACATTTAAAAAGTAAAAAAAATGATATTTTAAATTGTATTCATATATTTCAATAATGCTGCATCAATAAAATGCAGCCTTGATAAGCATAAGAGACTTCTTTCAAAGATATTAAAAATGCTTACCAACCACAATTTTTGAGTGGCAGTGTATGAACTTAATTTTATATATATGCATATTAGATATTATATAATATTAAATGCTCAGGTCCTTTTAACTCACCTTGTAGGTTTTCTGAACCAATGGTCCAAGGCTCGTCTGAGTCAAAGTGAGTATCTCCACCCATCCCTGGACCAGGGAAGTAAGCATGTGCCAGGAAACCCCCCTCTCCGTCAAACGGGGAACTGTCACCATGAAAACCAGATGCAAAGAAGATCATAATATCAGGTTCCTTCCGACGGCCGTATTTGACCTCCAGGAAAGGGATCTCATCAAATGTCAGCGGCGTCACTTTCTCCCACACTTTGAAGGCCCGTCGGATGGCCTCATATGAGTTGTACTCCCCCACCTTAGGCGTGTAGTTCTGAATACTGCAGCCATAGCAGACACAAGAAGAACAGTGTTACAATTAAAAGCAAAATCACTGGAAATGGTGATAATATGAACTGAAGAGTCAGATCCAAACCCACCTGAAAGTTATGTGGCTCTTGTCCCACTTGTGGCCAGTGAGGGCATAACGTTTCCGTCGTACATTGGTCTTGATCTGACCCCCAAACTTGTCTGAGACTCCACAGCGGGGTCTCTTCATGGCCCTAAAAAGAAAGGATAAGATGAAGGCTTAGTGTAGAAAAGGAACCTTAATAGGCATGCACAAAATAATGGCATGTTAAGAAAGCTGAACAAATGGAGGCTCCTTTATATCCATCACTGTGAAGCATGGTGGACTTTGATATTAATTACTATGGCAAACATCTGAGCTATGTTGTCTATTATCATAGACAATATGCATGTATAAATTCACCTAGCCTCAGGCCATCCAAAATGTAAATGAGTTTGTTTCTTCATCTGAACATATTTGGAGAAATGTAGCATTACATCACTTGCTCACCAATGGATCCTCTGCAGTGAATGGGTGCCGTCAGAATGAGAGTCCAAACAGCTGATAAAAACATCACAATAATCCACAAGTAAACCACACGACTCCAGTCCTTGTGAAGTGAAACCTGCATGTTCGTAATAAACAAATCCATCATTAAAGCATTTCAACTTTAAAGCTTCGCTTGTGGAGTCCATAATCCATAATAAGAATTCCTCTAGTGAAAAGTCCATCCCCTGTTGTCCTCTCACATCAAAATCCACTGACATATTGTTTAGAGCTGTTTTGGACTGTTTTGGCTTGTAAACTGTGCATGTTCCTCTCCTTAATCACATTTTTTTTTTCACCACAGAAAGCAATATTATGGATCGTTGCTGGAAGTTAAATACAACTTGACAGATTTGTTTATTACAAACACACAGTATTTCACTTCACAAGACTTGAATTGGAGTAATGTGGACTACTTATGGATTATTGTGATGTTTTTTATCAGCTGTTTGAACTCTCATTCTGACGGCACCCATTCACTGCAGAGGATCCATTGGTGAGCAAGTGAATTTCTCCAAATCTGTTCTAATGAAGAACAAACTCATCTACATCTTGGATGAGGGTGAGTACATTTTTAGCAACATTTTCAGCTACTATCACACTGTTTTGATAGTGTAACAAAAACAATCCAACATTATGTGTTATGTGTTAGTATTGGGTGTTATCATAGATTGGTGCAAAAGAATCGCTTGTAAACCCTTGTCTATGGAAATTTAAAATCAAACTCATGTCATGACCAGCTAAAAATAAGGCTAATGTTAACAGTGATAATACATGACCACAGGATCTTCCGCCTAGAAAAGTAGTTCCATAGACATTAAATAACCTGCAATATTCCTTTAAGGTTCTTCTTCTCTATAAGGTGACCTTCATTTTTCTGTTCAATTACAGGTTTAGCAGGATATAAGAGCTTTATTAAAATATTTTTTTTTTTATTAAGATGAGCTGAATATGAATTGGTAGTAGCTCTAACAGTGTAGCTGATACATTAGATCATGTGATGGATTGAGTCTCTTACTCGATGGTGACGGGGTCCAACACCCCAGTGATCTCCAGCCCGTAAAAGCGCTGCATGTCACTGATGGCGTTCAACAGGATTTGAGCTGAGCGCATGGTAGACATCTGCTTGCCGGCCTGCGGGAGGTAGCCGTACTGCCGTAGCCATGACTAAGTGAAAATCACAGACAAAAGGAATTAAATAAGTGATCTGATTAGAAATCACATTTTCTTTGATCTTTTGTGATCAGGGATGTTCATGGTTATTGTTATTATTAATTTTGTCAAAATTTATATTAATATGTATTTCACAATCTTAAAAGTGAAGTTTTAATGTAGAATGAGTATTTTCTATGCATGTTATTATTAACAGTAATAGTTCAAATAAACTGCTCATTAAATTCACTAATTAAATATGTATTTAAAGTAATCTAACTGCATGACATTTGTAGTCCCCCGCTACAATATTAATGTGGGGAATATTCAATTAATTGATTATGAAAATTCCTGAAAAATGACATTCTTATTTGAAATATTTCAAAGTATGGAAACATAATGCAACTTTTAGAGGAAGTTTTTGATAACATTCTATAACATGTATTTATCAAACAGATTCATACATTAGCACATAGTTGGTATGAGTATGCAGTAGAAGCAGAAAATAAAATAAAAAAAAGGAGAAAAGGGCTGTGGCGTTTACCAAAAACCTCAGCACCCATAATGCACTTTTGATTTTTGCACAGCCCCTCTGTTGATTTGACTGTCTGTGCGCAGGAATACAAAAATACAGAAGTTTGATCTGTTTAAACAAAAGCCATAGAGCTGTGAAAGTCTGCCAAAAGACACAAAATGACATGTCATGCGGCTGACTTTTGCAGACAAATAAACTGGGATATCTGTGCGCAGGTACACATTGTTCATTTACATGTATTACAGAAACTATACAAACAATACAAAGCTGGTTAAAAATCAGCAAACTTATCCTTTAAGGTTAAAAGAGATTATGAAAAACTAAATTAAGGCCCAAAAAGCGGCATAAAATTTAATTGCTGTGCCATAAAAGAGATCACGTCATCAATCTGTCACTGCCATGAGAATGAAGGAGAAAGAAGATATTGTCACAGACTGAAAGACCGTCACACCTAATACTGGTCCAGACTGTGTGAGAACACTTGAGGCTGATGTGACCACAGATTGGGGGTGACGGCACCAGCTGGGCCAGCCAATTTATCAGGCTTTAGAAGCAGAGAGCAGCCACTCTTCCCTCACTGCTGGGGGACTTTCCTCAGGGCAGAGACATGCATGGAGGCACAGCTCCAGCCCCATCTGGCTTTCGCATTGGATGCAGTGCGTGATTCCAAAAGGCCAGAAGGTCCATTAAAGGGGATGAAAGCTTGACATGATGCTCTGGTTTGAATTAAATGTGGTTGTACCTACTGCCTATCATCATTAGTCAGGCATTTAGCACAAATTATGTAATTAAACTGCCCCATTATTAAGCCCACCCTGTGGCAATGGCAACAGACTGTCCTTCACAGTGTTATTATAGTACCACTGAGATACTATTTTAGTTTTTTTAATATTTAGAATTAGTTTTTATTTTTATATTTCTGTTTTCATTTTAGCTCTAGCAGATTTTCTGTTTTTTGTAATTTTTATCGGTTTTTATATAGTTTGTATTCATTAAAAAGAAATGTTGCCTTGGAAACTAGCTGAAATAAAATCAATTTAATATATGTTATTTCGGTTAACGTTTATTTTAATCCAAGTAACAATGTTTTTTTTCAATGGTTTTAGTTTTAGTTCAATATAATAACCCTGGTCCTAACCCAGCCAGAACCTCCCATATAGAAAACCAGATCAATTTAATATCTCAGTTGTTTCTCCTAGACAGTAATGGGATCAAATAACAGAGAGCAGTTGGAGAAATCTCTTGCTTCACAGTTTAATCTGAAGAGTTTCAAAAAGTATGAACAATATCACAAATTGTTCTCCAATTTGTAAAATACCAGTCTACAAATGTCACATTCTCATCAAATACTGATGTGAGTTACAATATATTTTATAGCTATATACTCTTACTTTGTCAACAATTGTGTCATTTGTTTCTATTTTATTTTTTTCTAAAGAGAAACATCTGAAACAAAATAGATACTTGAATCGTAACTGAGAACAAATGCAATACTAAAATCAATACAGAATCAATTGCTTAGAATTGTGTTCAGGACTTTACAGTGCTGTTTTTCACCTGGTCTTAGCAGAAGGCTAATGTGTTCATCCCACTGGACTCGTGTGGTTAGGGGGTCACTGCTTTTATAAGGTCCCCTTCTTTTCCTACCCTGTAACCAGGGCCCGTCACACAGTTGCCTGGTCCAGATCTCCATTTTCCACGACCACAGAAAACACAGGCCTTTGTGCCCTTCTGAGATGTGAAGGCAGCTGAATAAGAGTTAAACAGCTGAATAGCTGGCCCTGTTCTGGGCAAGGCTAATATGCCACTGCACCAATCATCTACTGTGTAGAAGCGGAAAGTCACGATAACCCAACATGCATAACTATTTCCATGTACTTAAGGTTTTAGGACAAATGCCTTACCATAAATAAGTATTAAACTTTTACACCAAAGTCATTCTGCTACATTCATGCTACAGATATGAATGATGCCTCAAATAATGTAGCTTGTTTTATTACTTTTCCAAGTCATCAGATTAACAATTCTTGTCAGTTGAATGATTCAGTGGATGAAAATTCCATAGACAGGGATAGACACACATTACACACACACACACACACAAAGAAAAACAAGTAGATAGAATAGAAAAAAATAGAATCGATAGAGTAGGATCAAAACTGCAATATGATTTAGAGCGACTATCAAATCACAAGGGATATGCATTTTTAGAATGAAGTGTGTCACTGTGTTCGTTTATACGAGAGCAGCTCATGATCCAGTGTTTTCAGTGTCTCAGAGTAGCTCAGTTCACATATGGTGCTCAACACGAACTCATTGCTGCAAGTGCTCGGAGTTTGGGTTGCTTATAATGTGCATTTGGCATCTTCCTAAACTTGTAAAGAGAATTGCTTATAAACATGCTGTGATTAACAAAAGAGCTATAAGGGCTCCCTGCGGTTTTTTTTTTTTTTTTTGCCAAAATAAAAGTTTAAAGTTTGAACAAGAAAAAAATAGGACAGTGTTGTAATTTTACAGTCATACTGTAAAAATGAAAATATTATTATATTATTTTCCTTAAATTACTTTTTATTTATTTACTTTTTTACTGTTTTATTTAGTAGTAATAACATATAATAAGTCAATAAATGTATTATTGTCATTATTACTATTATAGTAGTAGTAGTAGTAGTAGTAGTACAAAATCATATTGGTATATTAAAGTCATACTGGTATATAATCACAAATTTTTTGGTCCAAATTGTGCAGCACTACCTAAAACATGCACACACACAGACACACACGCACTTTAAATTTAAATAGCGATTTTTATCAGAAAAAAAAAAAAGCACAATTTTTTTTTTTTTACACAAATCATGTCGTCCTACTCTAGACTTACACCTAAAAAGGACTCGATCCAACAACCACAATTAAAAGGACTTGGGCGTGGGCTCTTTGAACTTGGGCCAGTAAACAACCACCTAGCAACGAGCAACCTACCCTAGAAACTGTATATCAACATGTTAAAAAACATTCATAAAACCTTAGGAACTTCATAGCAACGCCCAAGAGAATAACAACAACTCTAGTACCTTTTGGTGATACAATCACAGCATTTACTTTGGAAAATATTTAATTATAATGTATTAATTGTTCTTCATGCAGTTTTTAGAAACTAGGGATTTTTTTTTTAATTGTAACAATTTTTAAAAGTAAAAATGAATTGCACCAAAAAAAAAAAAAAAGTGATTACAAATGCTAAAAAACTTGGCGATCACTTATGGCATCTAAAATCTACACTTTTTCCGCAATCATTTACATTTATTACATAAAAAGTGTTATTTCCACATCATTTGTCAACTACTCTTGTATTTCCATACCAAATCCAACAATCCCCAGCTTTCTTACTCTCCCTGAACACAATCCTCTTTGTGTCTCCCCCATAGGGCTGTGAGAGAGGGAAGTGCTAAAGGGCTGTGCAGGGCAGGACACACCTTACCCCAACAGATAAGACTGCCTCGCTTTCTGTCATTCAGAGCCCTGGGGCTTTTAGCAGGGCAAGAGGTGGGAGGTTGTGTGTACTCCCACTAGAGAAAGACATTACCCTAGTGTTCTGCTTACTAGCTCATAAAGGACAACAACGTTCTTGCTTTCATGCTTTATATGTTCCTTCTTTAGGTCAAGGGCACCTGGAATCATTCTGCTAGATATACGTCGCAGGCTATCGAAATGGATGAGATAAATGAAGACCTGCTTTTAAAGCCTGAAGTGTTTCAGCATCCATCCCACCATCACAACATCCTATGTCATGCATACAGAGTAAGGCATTGCAGAGAACAGAAGCAAGGAGAGCCATCCTTCTCTCCCATCAGCCCCTGTGCCAGCGCTGGCTCAACGGGACCTTGAGAGCTCCTGCCAACAGCATGTCCTCCAGGAACCTGTGATTCACAACGTGTCGTGAAAAGACTTGGGTTTAGTGTGTGTGTGTGAGAGAGAGTGTGTGTCCAGAACAATGTCAGCCAAGAATCTAACGACTAGAGAGCGCTATTATTCCTGGGCCTTGGGTGCATGCCATTTTTTTGGTCATTAAGTGAGAGGGAAGAGGAAGCGAGCGAATCAGATCAAGTGAAAAAGATTAAGAGGAAGACAGGAAAACAGAACATGATGGAGGAGGGGAGGAGTGAAATAAGTTAAGGCAGACTGGGTTTTTGGCATTTCAGACATGATTCTGGCTCGCAGGTAACTGGTCTGGGGAATAATGCAATGACACATTTCATTTAAACTCCATGTTGTCTTCTCTCTCAGCTCTGCACATCCAGTCTACTGAGCCACAGGGAGCTGTGTCACTGCAGAAAATACAATAAATAGATTTTAAAAAATATATTCAGGCTGTATCCTTAATGGCAGGCAATTGGGTAATGAGACTCAAAGCAAGGTCAAAGGACAGAGCACATCAATCATTTGTCAGTTTCATTTTCCAGCTGTGTAAATCAATAACCTT